GACTTCCTACCCGATTTCCTACCCGATTAATTGTGTAGGAAGTCGTGTAGGAATACCACATTTGATCAGGTAAGATAGGGCAAGAAAAAAATTCTTCTGCAAAGTATCGGGCAGGAAGACGAAACACTATATTTCCTACCCGTAGAATAGGGTGAACACTCCTAGCGATGGTGGCCAAAGAACTTTATTAATAAAATAGGTGGGAGATAGAGATAGAGCAAGAGTAAGCTCTAGGTGAGGTTAGGTAGCTATAAGAGATGTACTCCTCATGTCTAGAGAGTTTACAATTTATAGGCACAAAACCTTAATTGAGGTGGTGACTTGAAGGGTAGGTTACTAGTTTTTTGGGGAGGATACCTACAACTACGATAAGTACAATTAGAGATAGTTTTGATCTTTAAGAGTGGTTATTCCAGTAATTACTTCCCACGTGCGCTAATCTTTTTGAATTTTTTGAACTTTGGACTACATCGAATCCATGAACCGGTCTTGACCAGTATTATAGCTAATTTAAACTTACTTAATGAATTAGGCTTTGACCCAGTTAGATTTGGGCTGATCAAGCTCAACACGTGAAAAGAGAATTTATTTAGATATCACATGTGAAACTCTGCTATTGAATTGAAAAAGGGAAAAAAAAAAGCTTCAATATGTAATTAATTGGCTTAGCGTAAGTAGGACTGTCAAAATTCGACACGACACGATTAATCGACACGAATTGACACAAATTAAGCGGGTTTGGCTGATAAACGAATTAACACGCCAAACACGTTTAATAAACGGGTTATGTTTGGGTGAGACCTATCAAACCGTTTATCACACGTTTATCCGTTTAAATAAAATTAATATAATAATAAATTAATAATTATTTTAAAAAATTACACAAGAAGTAAAGAAATCAATAAAAAAAAAAGTAAAATAGTAGTTTAATGACAAAGGAGAGGAGATGGGGAGCACTTCAAAGACAAAGACAAACTAATGCCATTTGTTTTTGTCTCACATTGAAAAATGAGGGGAGATGGGGAGGTTTGAGTTGCCTGTAAAAGGCAATGACCTCTAGCTTTTTTTTTAAACATTCAAGTCTTATTTTTATGAGATTTGACTAAAAAATCCTCTTTTTTTAGGTAAGTACAACTGACAGTAAAAAAAGTGGAGTATTAAAATTTGTTGATATAATTTTTTTAAAATTAAATGAGTTAAACGAGTCGTGTCGTGTTACCTGTTTATTAAACGAGTCGTGTTCATATTGGGCTTTTTTATTCGTTTATTAAACGTGTCATATATGAGTTTATATTATTTTCACCTGTCACTCATTTAATCCGACACAATTGACACACTTAAGCATAAGTACGAGTTTTAGCTTTCCCATAAATTTTTGTTGCAAACATGTATACGAGGCCTCCTATGAAACACCCATCTCCCACATTCCCGATCTTTGCGGGTAGGATAGCAGCCCTAGAGGTGAGGATGAGCGAAAACAATACACAATCTTTACATGCATCAAATTTCGATTTTTTTATGACTCATAAACTCAAGCCCTGTTGCGTGGACAAACTTCAATCTTTTGACATTAGGGCTTGTAAAAGTCTAAACAGACAAGCCAGCAGCTATCAGATTGTTGGTCTATAAATACCCATTTCGTTTACAGCTTGATTTCATCAATCACGAAGGAAGACAAGGCAACATAACAAGAAGAAAGCACAACACTGAGGATGTCATCAGCGTGTGATGGTAGTTCAAGTTTTACTTTTGATACTGCATTGAAAGTGTTGATTTTTGTGGTTCAACTTACGACTCAACGGGATTGATAGGATTGAATCCAACACATTTGGATCGATCCTAGCTTTTTTGAACTCCATTGAGCTGAAACTTTTATTTGGTTGAGACGTAATTTGACCCCTTGATTGAACCATAATTTTTTCAATTTATTCAGTAGCCTACTTAGGTAAGACTTCATGGCCCGAGCTCGTTGGGGTGAAGGGAGAGACTGCGGCAGCAACAATTGAGAAGAAGAATCCTTTCGTTACTGCTACAATTGTGCAGCCGTCCTCCCAGAATTTCGCTGCGATAATGTTAACGTTGTTGTTGACAAGAATGGCATAGTTACTGCGACCACTATAATTGGGTAGATTGGAATGAAAGATATCAAACTCTTGATAGTTATTTACTATGTTATTTGTATTTGAAATGATTCAAAAATAATTGGAGTTTATAATCTCCATGTGTTGTACTTATCACTAAATAAGATGGATTAATAAGTAGCAAATATAATGTTCCTCTCTCTATCTCTCTCTGTGTGTATGTGTTTGATCCACGTAACAGAATTTTCTGCCAGAAAAGAATTCTAATTTGAAAGATCAATAAAGAAATGCTATATTTAGTGAACAAAGCGCCTACCTAAAAATTATCTCAAGACACGCAAATGAGAGATAGTTTTATCTTCATTTTAAAATGATCGAATTCTAGATAGAGACCCATTGCACATTGATTAGACGAATATGTCTCGGTAACCTGCTTATGTCATGGTATGTAGATTTAAGAAAAAAATAGAGGACCATATCTCTAACAAGCCTAAATATAAAAATTTTAGTACTTGGGCTTTTATTAGTACACAAGACGGCCTCATGTGACAGACAGTGAACCTTTGATATGTATTTCGGGGTGGTGATGATAATCTGGTCTTCCACTTCTTGTTGCTGATAGCCTAAAATCTACGACCATTATACAAGGCCTAAGGAGAAGCAAAAAAGATGGTTCTTACAACTTGTTCTTGCTTCTCAGGCCATTCTTCCTTAAAGGATGCTCAAGATGTAACCAATGTTAAGTGCTAAATGAAACTGGGTTTAACCTAATTATGGTAGTGATGTGTTGCTTTCACGCCCCATATATAAGCTCTACAATGACGACTATGAAGAATTGATTTTCATTACTTTTGACGATCATGGTGTTTTACATTTGTCACCAAAAAAAAAATCGGTACCATAGTCAAACCCACTTTTTCAATTGAAACCTAATAGTCATCATGTTGATCAAAACAAAACTACAAAAAATCTCAGGCCGAGTTGGATTCAAGGAAAAGAAGAGATTTTTCTCGTACCATCTGGTTCTGATTAATTTTATCAATAGATCTTTGGTCTAATTTATTCCTTACCTTGTGTGAAAACCTTATCTTCTTATGATCAAGAGTTCAATTGGCAATTTTATCAGATAAGAAACCATCTTATTCAGTTGTGAATAGCACTGTAGATAACTTGTGGGATCAAATGGGCCAATCATTTTTGACATTTTTCAGTCATATCCATCCCTAAAGATAAATTTAGCCACATAAATAATCTAGAATTGTTGTGGATGTGTGGATATCTCTTCGTATTTGAAAAATCTAAATATAATTCCTATGAGAAAAATTATACTTTGAATCCCTTAACTATTAAGAATTGTTCGCACACTATGTCAAAAGTAAATGTCCGCCACATTTTGGGTAGGAAATATCAACCTGTATAGTATAATTGATGTTTTTAATGTCTAAATTTGGGACAATATGAAACTAATAACCTTGCAACTTGAGAGATTGATAGTTGGGGAAGTAAAATGAGAAACTTCATAGTTGAGGGGCCGAGTGAGATCAGAATTTTAGTTGAAGAGACAATATAAAATAGGGTCGTAGTTAGTTGAGGAGGGCAACATTGGAACTGGAAAGTATTCTTAGCTAATATAACAGCTGGTATAATTTACCTTGACACTATTGTCATCTTACCTGTAATGTTTTTTCGTTAGTTTTGTTTGTGATTGATTAACACTTCTTTTTTTTTTAATTTTTACCCCTCAAATTATTACCCTTCTTTTACTTTGTACTTTGAATTATAATTATTTTTACATTGCACTATAAAGTATCAATTTTATTTTATGTCACTCAAAGGGATAACGACTATCATTTTTTGACGGTAAATGCGCATGTGGTGGTCTGTATTGCCAATAAGCTGCTATCTATTGCATATGTGCAAATCAAAAATCAAGAAAAATATTTATCTATGACTTTGCCCTTCCTAAGCTCTAAATTTTCTTCTTCTAGCCGACTTTTTTTTTCTTCCGAACAACCATTTGATTGCAAAAGAGGTAAAATAAAATGGTACTAGTCATTTAGTGAAAAGCTCTTTGAGGTTTTCCTCCCTCATTTAATAGATTTTTAAATTTGTTGTTATTTATTGGAGTGATATTAAATAAAATTGATACTTTAAGATATAATGTAAAAAATTTTATAGTTAAAGATATAAAGTGTAATAAGGATAATAGTTTAGGAGGGTAAAATGTAATTTACTCCTAGTTAGATAAAGATTGACTAATTGCATGCATGGTACAATAGAAAAAGTTAGTTGAATGTTTTACTTGGCAGACAGCATATGAAAATAAAATTAATCGCTTGAATGATAATAATGACGAGTTATAAATAAAATATTTTGACTTTGAATTTTGGTAATCTTTTGATGTTAGGTCACGAGAGTTTTATCTTTCATGAATTTTTTAGTCTCAAAATAAATGATTTACATTTGATTGGACTGGAGAGAAAATTTGTCAAAATACACGTAAGTTGAGACATACACCTTAGACCAAAAAAAATAAAGACAGTCCGTGAAAAGTGAAGTAAGGAGAACACTACGGACCAAAAATGATACTGTACTAAAATTTATAATTTTGAAAAATTAATATATAATTCCAAAAATTCTGATCGATTTAAAAAAAAATTTGCTCGATCATAAAAGTTATATAATTTTTAAAATATCAAATCACAACTCTAAAAAAAAAATACAATTAATTCAAGTAAATTCACGATGGATAGCAATAAACACTTGACTTAGGTGGGTAAGGGACCACCAACCTTATCCTCTCTTATCTGTCCGTGCACGTGGCGTGCCTTGTGTGGGATTACGATTACTACGTACACGTTTTTTTTAAACAGCTATTTTTCTCTTTCATCTGTCAAGCTACAAGGCCATGTTTGTCTTTAAATACTCATTTTCATCACAGCCAGTCCATATCAATCTCGAAGCAACCAAAGGAAAAAGCTTAACATTTGGGGATGGCTTTAATCTGTGAAGGTAAAGAGCTCTTTATTAGTTCTATTGATAAGAATACTTTTAGATTTTCAATGCTACGTAGATAATATAGTAACATAATTCTCCTAATATTTTTTTATGTGCTTAATGATTTAAGGTAAGAGTTCATGGCCCGAGCTCGTTGGAACACGGGCACAGGATGCAGCTGTAACAATTGAAACAGAGAATTCATTGGTCACTGCTATCATTGTGTATAAAACTTGCGCCGTCCCTGCCGATTTTAGGTGCGACAGGGTTCACGTGGTTGTTAACTGCAGTGGCACCGTTATCGCAACCCCGTTTATTGGTTAAGTCAGAAGGACACGTTCCAAATTTATGATAAATATTTAGTATGGTATTGTATTCGAAATAACTCAACAAATGGACGTTGTGGTCTTTATTTATTGTACGAAAACCTTAAATAAAATGGCTAAATAAGGAACAATGATAAAGTTCCCACTCTGTTAATCCTCTCTCTCTTTCTTTCTCTCTCCCTCTCTCACACACACTTTTTTCTGACAATGGGTTACTCAACTAAAATGGTCTAAAAGGATCCTTAGATCTTGCATGTATAGGTGGAAATTTTATCACGTAAGAGTCGATTTATAATATAAATAAGATAAATTTCAATAAGTTTATTTGACAGTTTCAAATAGATTTATCTAACAGTCATCAACATCTTTTTGAAAACCATTCACATTAAATTCTCCATCTGCCCAAAATCAATTATTTCTCACTTACGTTGTACCGTACCTTCAAATACAAGTTATCCTAATAATATATACTATTAAACAATGATCCTATAAATTTCACAACAACAAACAACTTGCACATCCCATAATTATCATATGGGATTAGTAGACTCAAGTAGTCCTAATTATTTATTTATTGGTTGATTGGTGATATTATGCATCAGTGATATCGTGACACCACTATACATTGAGCAGTGGTAATCTAGCCCGGTTGTTAAGGCAGTTGTAAATAACTTATACTACTAGCTGGGTTGTTAAGAAGTGTTACAAATAGCCGGATTGTTAAGGCGTAAGTTAGCACGTACACTGCTAACGGTCGAACTAAAATAAAATAATAATAATAATATACTAAAATATATTGCACAAAATAATTTTTTGTTATAATACGAAAAATAGTTGAAGTTGTAATTACTCAATTATTTGGACTTTTTTCAGTCATATTTTGAGGTCACTTCGTTGAATGAACCACCCTTCTTTAGCCACAGTTTTCATCGGTGCTGGATATTTGGTGAATTTTAACTTCATATTTTATATTTGACCTCGTTAACAATAAAAAATATATTATTTAAAAATTTGATCAGAACTGATAACTCAAATTAAACTAAATTTTAACAAATTATACTAAATTTTTTAAAATTTCATTGTATACACCTAGTACGTACATATATAAATACAAAATTCATATCCAATCACAATCTAATTGTTTATAATATATCCAACCCAGAACTCCTCGGTCCTCTCCGAATTGATGATTTGGTTTAGTCTTCGAATAAAGTGTTGTTGTTTCATATCAATATATATATATATATATATATATATATATATGATGTAATAAATTCAAACAGTAGTTAAAATAATTATCTATAGTCGAAAAATCCACATGTGTAGTATAGTACATGTTTGTAGTGTCTATCTATATCATCTGCTTAACATTGAAACTTGAAAAGTACCTACAAAAAATTAAAAAAGAAAAACTGAAAAAGTATATTTTGTGAAAATTGAATATAATTTAGTACCTACAAAATATACTTGGAATGAAACTAATATAATTTATCTCGAAACTCTAATGCCAACCTATCTGTATACTTTGTGATCGATTAGCACATGTTGTAATGAAATGGGTATTTATAGACCAACAACATCAGAGCTTGTTGTTGGTTTTCTTTTGAACTTTCTACTTAGCCGAAGTTTAATTGCCTCTGATGGGACATTTTCAAGTACTCTAAGATGAAGACACGTATTCTCGGCGTCACTAAATTTTTTTCTTATAAACGCAACACGTACCCGTCGAATCACAAGTTCCTGTTCCCCCAAGGTACTGTTCATAAGGATCAATGACATTCAGTACGTTACATACGACACGTATCCCTCGGGGTCGGATAGGGTACATCGATCCTACATATACCAAACCCCCCCTTCGGTACCGAGATGTACCCCCGTCCAGGATGGCGTTCTCTGCTCTTGCAGGGACTACTGATGTACAGGTTCACTAGCCTAGACTAGACTAGGTTAGCCATCATGACTTCGTCTTACATAATTGGTGTCAGAAGGCACAAGAAAACAGGGGACACAGCCAATGGGGAATGGACGCGTGACATATTGTGTCACATCAGAGACAGAAAGATCGGATGCCCTTGCTGACACACGACTTGAAAAAGCAAGCATTTAATTACACTATTCTCTTGATGAGACAGCATTTAATGCGGTAAGGCTCGGAAGTAAAAGGTAATAAATGTCTCTAAGGCTGGACATTTATTACATCCTTGCCGAGAGGAGCTCATTAAACAGTCGGCAGGCCGATGACACAGCCTTAGTTGCTCAGGATCCTGAGCAGTCAAAAGAGAATATATTCCTCATAGGAATCAGTGCGCACGTTGCCTGTATCTAATGATCACCTATTGACCACACTAACAGCAATCATGAGTATTTGAGGTATAAATACTCCTCACAAAAGGCAAGGGGACAAGGTGAAACCTTTGCTACAAATTATACTCAGTATTTTCTTCTTCCTCTCTCTCAAAAACTGACTTGATCGTCGGAGGGGATATGCCGAAAAACACGTCGGCGCCCTTCTAACTTGTCTTTCTTTGTTCCAGGAACCTTCCTCAGTCTTACTGGATCGTTCTGTTGATCCACGAGGGTCTCCCATTATCGTTTCAGATTACCATCGGACCTCACAGGCTGTTCCAAGCAGTAGGGTTGACCATTCGACTGACTCACTCGAGTTCACCAAGGGAGAGATCTGTTCTCGTGTTTATATTGTGCAAGATCTAGCACACACAGCCTCCATCAAAATTCTTGTACCAATAGGCTTTCTAAGTTAGCTGAAGTTTTAAAATTAATATTAATTTGATAAAATTAAATATTAAATTCAAAAAATTGAATGACCATTTGATATTGATTTGATGAAATTGAATGCTAATTTAAAATTCAATAAAAAAAATGATGCTAGTTTGATAAATTGGATGTTAAATTGATGAAATTAAATGTTAATTTGATGAGATTAAATATTGATTTGGTGTTAAATTTATAAAATTGAATATCGATTTGATGAGATTGAATATTAGTTTGTTGAAATAAAATGATAATTTTATAAAATTTAAGATCAATTTCACATTAATTTGATTAAATTTTGTATCAATTTGATAGTTAATTTGGTGTTAATTAGATCAAATTGAATATTAATTTGATAGGTAATTTGATGAAGTTTAATGTGGTTTTGATAAAAGTTAATGTTAATTTTGTTTTAATTTCATGAAATTGAATAATAATTTGAAGAAGGTGAATGTTAATTTGGTGCTAATTTGATGAAATTGAATATTAATTTGATAAAATTAAATATTAATTCGATAAAATTGAATATTAATCAAACAAAATTAATGTTCAATTTTATGTAATTTGATAAAATTATAGATTAATTTTGTATTAACTTGAATAAAGGTAATTAAATAAAATGGGAGTTCTAATAAGGGTAATTTAATAAAATTACATATTATGTTAAATCTATTAACAGACAAAAACTGACAAGGGTATATAATAATATTTCAGAAATTAGAGTGTCAAAAAAATAAGACTTAAATTCAGTGAGTATTAATGAAATTTACCCAAGTTTAAATCATGGAGATTGCACGAGAATTTCATGGGTTTGTCTTTCATCGGTGCTGCCAAACTTTGTAGTTGTACTATCTCTTACTTTTCGTACCGTCTGCCAGACTTGCACATGCACCAATAAATTTTTATTTCAATGGTACTTTTTTTTTTTTTAATTTTATTTTTTCAAAATTAAAAATTCAAGTCTCTTACCCACTTTTCCTTCCACTTCCCTTTCCCTATCCCCTTGCCAAAAAAAAATACTATATATACATGCATGTTTTACTCATGGACCATAGCTATACTTCTATTTATCTCTTTCATCTGTAAAGCTGTCATGCCATGTTTATCTATAAATATACTCATTTCATCACAGCCAGACCATATCAATCACACAGCAAGCTAAGGAATGGCGAGTACGAAGAATGGCGAGTATGAAGAATTGATTTTCATTACTTTTGATGATCATGGTGTTTTACGTTTCGTCACCCAAAAAAAAAAAAAATGGATACCATAGTCAATTCCACTTTTTCAATTGAAACCTAATAGTCATCATGTTGGTCAAAACAAAATTACAGAAAATATCAGCAAAAGCAAAGTTGGATTCAAGCAAAAGAAGGGATTTTTATTGTACCATTTGGTTCTCATTGATTTTATTAACGGGTTTTTGGTCTAATATTACTCCTTCTCTTGTGTGAAAACTTTGTTTTCTTAAGATGAATGATTCAATTGGCAATTTTTTCGGATAAGAAATCATCTTATTCGGTTGTAAATAGCACTGTGGATAACTTGTGGGATCAAATTGGCCAATCATTTTTGACATTTTTCAGTCATGTCCATCCCTGAAGAAAAATTTAGCAACATAAATCATCCTAGAACTGTTGTGGATGTGTGTATATCTCTTCGCATTTGAAAAATGTAAATATAATTCCTATGCGAAATTTTATACTTTGAATCCCTTTACTATGCTGAATTGTTCACACACTACGTTATTTCGAATCCCTTTACTATGCTGAATTGTTCACACACTACGTTGAAAGTAAATGTCCGCCACATTTTGGGTAGGATTTGTAGTATAGTATATGTTTTTAATGACTAAATTTGAGACAATATGAAACCAGTAACCTTGCAACTTAAGCGATTAATAGTTGGGGAAGTAAAATGAGAAACTTCATAGTTGAGGGGGTAGAGTGAGATCAGAAATATAGTTAAGGAGACAATATGAAATAGGGTCGTAGTTAGTTGAGGAGGGCAACATTGGAACTGGAAAGTATTCTTAGCAATATGGCAGCTGGTATAATTTACCTTGACACTCTATTGTCATCCTCTCTGTAATGCTTTTTCCTTAGTTTAGTTTGTGATTGATTAACAAAGTTTTTTTTTTTTTTAAACAATGTATTTAGGGGTAAATTATACTTTATCCCCTTGAATTATTACTTTTTTTTATGTTGTACCCTCAACTATAAAATTGTTCACATTGTATCCTAAAGTATTAATTTTATTTCATATCACTCTAATAGATAACGATTGTCAATTTTGTGACGATAAATGTGCATGTGAATGGTCTGTATTACCAATAAGTAACTGTCTATTATTGCACATATGCAGGTCAAAAATTTTAAATAATACCATTTTGTGACTTCGCTTTTCCTGAACTCTAAACTTTCTTCTTACTGACCTTCTTTTTCTTCTCAACAACCATTTAGTTGCAAAAGAGGTAAAGTAACGTAGTACTAGGTACTTACGGGAAACTTTTTGTTTCACAGATTTTTCAATTTGTCGTTATCAATTGGAGTGATATAAAATAAAATTAATACTTTAAGATAAAATGTGAAAAATTTTATAATTAAGGATATAAACTAAAATGAGGATACTAGTTTAGGCGAGTAAAGTGTAATTTACACTTTGCCGGACTAATTGCATGCATCAAATTCTGGTACAATAGAAAAAGTTAGGTGAATGTTTTACTTGGCAGACAGTCCATGAAAATGAAATTAACCGCTCAAACAAAAAAAAGAGAGAAATTACGAATTTTGATAATCTCTTGAGGTCAAGTCACGAGAGATTTATCTTTCATGAATTTTTTAATCTCGAAATGGATGACCTATATTTGAATGGATCGAAAAAATAATTAGTCAAAATACATCTATGCTGATACTGACCAAAAAAAAAGACAGTCCTTGTAAAAATTAATTTACAACTACAAAAAGTATTATCGTTTTCAAAAATTTTTTGCTCGTGAATAAGGACCACTGGACCACCAACCTTATCTTCTCATCTTTCCGTACACGTGGCGTGCCTTGTGTGAGATTACGATTACTACCTACACGTTTCATCTGTAAAGCTATAAGGCTATGTTTGTCTATAAATACAAATTTCATCACAGCCAGTCCATATCAATCACAAGGCAAGCTAAGGAAAAAGCATAACATTCGGGGATGGCTTCAATTTGTGAAGGTAAAGATCTCTTTATAAGTTGTATTGTTAAGAATATTTTTAGAAATTCAATGCTAAGCTGAATTCGACAAATATATTTTTTTGTGCTTAATGATTCAGGTAAGAGTTCATGGCCAGAACTTGTTGGGACGCGAGCACAAGATGCAGCTGAAATAATTGAAAGGGAGAATTCATTGGTTACTACTATCATTGTGTATAAGACTTGCCCCGTTCCCCTAATT